TTTTGAGCTCAGTGAATTCTCAGACTTCAGCCTCCCAAATGACTAGGACTGAATTTCCATGTCATCGTGCCCAGCTTTTTTGATTTTGCTTAACATATTTTTTGTGCTTTTTTTAAACAGAAAATAAACTTTGCATGTAAATTCATTGTTGTTTTAATGAAGTAGACTCACTATGTTTTTGCATTTGCTTAATTATAAGTCAAGGTTGGAAGGTTCTTGCCAATTTTTTTTTCTTAAAAAAAAAAAAAAGAAAATAAACAGGCTCATAAAATGAATCAATCCCCCCAAACTTTCCAGATAGCTTCTGTCTCTGATCTATAGGAACAATGTTATGGATTAAAATTGGAAGACCTTAAATACTGTTGATTTGTATGATATCTAACTAAGGCAGTCTTCTTATTTAACGCAAATCCATTTTGCTAGGATAAAGAAATCCATTTCACTAGATAAGGAAAAGTTCAGCGCAGACAGTTACATACTGTACGCCCAGAGAAGTTCAAAAGTTATACTTCCGTCATGACGTCATGTAATCCGTAGACTATTGTTTTGGCCCAGTGTTGTTTTATACTTGAACAAGCATGGTCTGTCACTTCACCTCTTTTACCCACTCCTCCTGTAGCCACTTCTGTCACTGCCTTTAGTAAGCCGCCTGTTCCAGGTAAGACGTGAGCCAGCAGAGGCTGCAGCGTGGAACATGCACCGGGGTCAGTTGGAAAGAAGCTTCTAACTTACCTGCTTTCTTAACATATTCTTCGAAGATCTTTGAGTTTTATTTCTGAACAATAATTGATGTTTCCCTCCTCCTTGATTTCTGAATTTAATTATAATTTCAATAAGTGCTTAATAGTTACACCATCGCAAATGTATGAGGAAGCGTATTCCTTCCTCTCATACAAGAAAAATAACTAAACTGGGATTTTTTTCGAGGCGAGTACGGGTGCTGACAGTTCGGCAGTGGGGACGACTCTTAGATTATTTACATTGAAGGCTCGTTCCAGAACTCGCCCGTGCACTGGCCACCGGACTGTCTTTTGAGCCATACACTGTGAGCACTTTGTAATAACTTGGAAAATGCTTATGCTAGAGTTAGCTTTTAAAACATATGAATGTGTTTAATACAATATAAGAAAAACTTTTCACATGAAATCTGAAAGGAAATACATTAAAAAATTGTAATAGTAGTTACCTTTGGGCAATAGGGCTGTGAACTACTTTACAGAATTTCATAATAAGCATGTATTAGTTTCCTGGAGAAAAACTTTATTAAAACTTGTCTAGTAATAAACTATGAATGTCCTTTTTTTTGCCCATTAAAAGGGTAGGCTTAAATAATTGATTACTCTAATAATTACCACCCTACTTTAAAAAGAACCTTAATAAACTACACATTACAGGTTATTGCAGTGTTTTTCTTACTATTTCCAATTTTCCTGAAGCACGCGCAGTCCCAAGACTTAAGCCACGTCAGTAGCGGGTGACGATTTGTTATCTGTGGCTGTCATGAAGATGAGCCCCATCAAGGCTGAAAGTTCTTAGGACCTTACACTGTGTACTGGCTAAGAATCAGAAACCAGGCATGCTAATTCAAAGATTTCATTGACTTTTAAGCTCCTAGGAGAAATAGCTTGATCTGTCTGGATATTTCCTTCCCCCTTCTATTAATAATTTAAAAACTGGAGAAAGGTATGTGTGTGGTACTTTCCAGAACCAATATTCTGTTGGCTTGTGCTTGGCTTTCACTCCTGACTGCCACCCTCCACATGCGTAACCCTAGACAAATGCTCTAATACTTTCAGGCTCATTTTGCGAGTGCTGAGTGTGTTGATTTCTATTATTTCTTTTTAGCCATGGAAGGAATAAAGGTTGTGAACACAACCTTAGGAGACTGGACTAGTGAATGTAAGATAGCTCTTTCGCAGGATCTAGAGTGTCAATCCAAATGTTGGAAATGTTTTTACCTCCTTTTTTAAAACTTATTTTACTGATAGCATCAGAAGATCATGAACCTTGCATGCCGTTACTCTGACCCTGTCTCCTAGGAAGTGGAAATGGGAGTCCCTGAGCTTTTTTTCTACGTAGGCTGAAGCGTTCACTTGAGGTCAGCTCTCACTTGCCACTGTCCACAGACAGATCCATCTGTGTGGAGGAGGACCAGATGTCCGACATCTAAACGTTCTTATCTTGACCCTACTGTGCCACCGTATGAATTTTCAAGTTACTGTTGTAGCTAAATTTAATTGTATGTCCACATTCATGTAGCAGAAGATTCCTTCTTAAATAGAAAGTGACATAGAAAATAAAAATCACAGGCATTATAAATAAGACTTAAATGGATACCAATTTCAATACTACCACTTAATTAATACCTGTGTGTCTAAGTTATTCAAGGCTCTGGTCCTTTGTTTCTTAGAGGTCAAAAGGGGAGAATCACTCCTTACATCCTTACGTCCATTGGGCAGGTGAAGGCTGGCATCCCCCACATGAGAAGCAGGGCTCAGAGTACCTTCCAGTACCCCCTTTCCAGGGTTTTCTAAGAAACATCAGGAATGTGTGAAATCTTTAACCACAAAGTGATGTCTACGTGTTCATTACTATGAACTGTTAGCATGCTCAGATTCTTTAATGCAAAATGCAACCTGCTTATTTTCAGTTATTTCAATTTATTAAAAATAGTTTTCCTTATATGTATTAACTATCTTTGCTTTCCTAGAGTAGTCCCTGTATTTTCATAATTTATTTAGTTTTCTAAATATTTTTCAAAGCATTTAATATATATTTACTGCTAAGTTAATGTTTTAACTGTATTTAATTTTGATACATAGTGCTTTTTTCCAATACCATTGAAATTACAATGTGATTTGCCATAAACTCCAGTGTTTCTTTATGGAGGCAATGTTTTTGAATTTTACTCCTTGTCTATCTTTTCAAAGTTTGTGGTTCATTTGTTGAAGAAACCAGGTCGATTATCTTACAGTGTGTCAGGCGGAACTCTAGTCACACATCCTGTGGAATCACGACACGTTTCTTTCCCCCTATATTTCTTGTGAATTGACAGTTAAATCTAAAAATGGGATCAGGTTTGGAGATACCATTTTTGAATGCACTTCAGAGAAGGTAGGCCCAGTGGCACTCCCCTGTAGTGCCAGCTACTGAGGACTCTGAGGCAGTAGGGCCACGTGAGTCCCCAGTTCAAGGCCAGCCTGAGCGCCGTAGCTTGCCTCAGGGGGAGCGAAACAGCTGGCACTCACTTGTAATCTTAGCACTCTAGACAGATGAGGCGGGAGAATCTCAAATTCAAGCCTAACTAGGGCAACTTCATGAGACTCTGTCTCAGTACTGAGAAGGAGGAAGAAGAGGAGGAGGGCAGGAGAGGATGAGGAATGGAAAATAGAAAAAGAAAAGAATAAACAAAACCCATTTCTTAGGTGACATTTCATACTCCAATTAGCAAACATGTAAATGAGTTAGCTTTCCTAGCATTGATTGCTGGTAACTGTGTCTGCATCTTGTTTAAGAATTCAGAGAGAGGGAGAGAG